AACTATATAATACATGAAAAAATAATAAAAATTATAAACAATAGTAAAAATCATAACAAATTCATTGAAAAAAATTAAGAAAAAAAATATAAATATTCTTAAACACTTCTTTATAAAACAACGTCGTGGTTTTTCTATCGTCAAAATCTCCCTCAGCTCAAATCAAAATCTTCAAAATCCACTGACTCGTAACTCTAAAAAGCGCCACGTATAATTGCTCATGACTAAATGCAGAGCTCTTCAGTAGTAAGCCAACGTGCAACAGAGACTGTCTTTGACTCTTATTGATCATGTCATAGCATAGGAAACACTTCTTTATATTGTTTGTCCTCGACTCTTATTGATTGATAGAGATTGTCATTGCTTCTTAATAAAAAAAATACCATCTAAATATAAATGAGTAAATATAATAGTAATTTTTTATATAAACAAAAAATTTAAAGTAATTGATAATGAGTATAAAATTACCCTTGCGGATTCAAGCTATTTCAACGATGTTCTTTTTATATATCTAAGATTTAATTTTTTTTCTGATTTATATGAATATAAGCACATTTGACTAATTTTTATAAAATTTATTGAAAAAAGTTACTATTTTTTTGAAAAACTGATAAGATATTAAGATAATACTGTACTTAACATAAATGTGAGATTAATTAAAATAAATATTTTTAATTTAATCATTAACTAATTAAATTTAACTATAAAAAACCTTCTTAAATGTGAGATTAATGAGTAATTAATTAAAAAAAATGTAACTCCTTTTGGAGGGAAAGTGAAAATATTTTTATTAAATGTTTTATTAAATGGGATTAGCTAGCAATTATATATATATAGATTTCTTAATGTTCAAGACAAAACGATCAATACAATTTATAAGGAAGAAAATGCTGGAAATCACAACTAGGGGAAAAATAAAAATACTGAAAGCAAAAATGATATAGATATTAATATTGCAGCTCGCCCCTGTTGCACGCGCCTGTGTCCCACCTTCCGCTAGCTATGCGATTGTCATTGTGGTTGCCCCTGCATCCTTGATACGAGCACGTGAAGCTTGATTATGTGCATTCTTAAGGAGACGACCTCGTCCACATCATTCGCGTCTCCTTGAAGTAAACCCTTGTCCTCAATGATAAAATTTGGAAATTGGTTGCAGATGTCTTGCAAGTTTTCCCAAGTCGCCTCCTCCTCTGGCAATTCCTCCACTTGATCAACACTTCCCAAAAGAGCGGCCATCCCTTTTTACTCTCTAGTAGTCCACTGATCGGCTTGGACGCAACAATAGATCTCCATCATGGCTCACTGCTGGCATCCACATCTGAACTGCGTGGGCATCACCTACGCTCCTTTTCAATTGGGAAACATGAATAAACGAATGAATTTGGGAATTCTCCGGTAACTCAAGCTTGTACACCACTTCGCCCACTCTTTCCTTGACATGATACGACCTATAAAAATGACTCTCTTTCTTGTAGAAAGCTTTTGTGAAATGGTTTACTGATGGTGTGGACGTAGCTTCAAGTAAACCCACTTGTCTGGCTCAAACTTCTCCTCTAGACGACCTTTGTCATAATACTCCTTCATGTTATTGATGGAGTTTAACAAATTACTTTTGAGCTCCCTGATTACCAAAGCCCATTCCATTAGCTCTCGATTAAACCTCAACATTCGTAGACTTTCCCATGGGGTAACTGACAAGCGTGGGTGTCATGGACGTGAGCCTCCATCATACGACGAACATCGTTATGGAAGGTGTCGTGGACGTGAGCCTCCCGTAACTTGTCCTAAATGGCCCATATTGGCCCAGAAATGGCCTGCAGCTCGACCACATTGCTGTGGCGGGATAGAGCATCTGCCACCAAGCTCTGGCACCTCGGTTGATAACAGATCAGCTTTGACACAAATTTGTGTTGCTCCGGGGTCACTATGCACTGCTTCAAAAGATGCTTAAGCGGCTTGGTCCATCACAATTATGAAGCATCGCCCCTATAGATAGGGCCTCCAAACTCGCACTGCTTCTACCACGGCCAACGTTTCATTCTTATAGACAGACCATCCAACACACATATAGTCTAAACCCTTGCTCAAATATAAAATGAGTTGTATCTCTTGCGTGAGACTCCAATCACAATGTCGCTTGCATTGGTGTGCACCTCAAACATCAACTCAAATTTCAGCACTGCTAGGACAAGAGTGGTGGCATTGCTTGTTTAAGCCGATCAAACTCGTCTTCGCTTGCAACCATCCACTTGAATCTGCCCTTTTTGTCATTGTTGCAAATGGCTTGGCTATCGACGCATAGTCCTTGACAATTTTTTGATAGTAGCCTATCAGTCCTAAGAATCCCCACAGTTCTATCGACCTCTTTGGTTTACAACATTCTTGTATCGCCTCGATCATCCTAGGATATGTTAGTGTGTATACTAAAAGCTTGACCTTAGATGTTATTCACACTATTTATGTTGAATGAGAAATCATATTTGATTTGTTAAAGTTCTACTTTCTATTGCTTTGCATTTAGATAAATGGTTCGTCATGGATAGACAAAAGATCATTTATCGGTTACTAGCAAAACATAAACAATTGGTTTGCAACCGAGCTGGAAATTGAACAAGCAATCGCAATGGTTGTAGTGAGGACGGTATAGTCGGTTTCGACAGATTAGTCACATTAGTATACATTGGTGTATTGACTTGATCCCAGAGAGGATCAATTCATTTTATTCTAATAGGGGCCTGGGTGCACCACAGGTGTCCACCTCGAGTTCCCTGTCAATGCACCGTCACTGTCCCATCGCATGTCAGTGTAAAAGGGGCCTGGGTGCCTCATCTTAGGCCAACTAACCCTCGCATGGCCTCCATGTGGTCGTCGACCATGCGTGCGACCTTCGTGGCTGCGCACATTGTCTTTGGCCTCTCCAGTCTCACTTTATAGGCTAAGTCGCATTTAAACCACTCCCCTCCCCCCCACCCCCGACAAACGCGCAGACTTGCGCTCCCTCCGGCCAATGATGGACATGGCTCGAAGTTCATTTAAACTCCTTTTTTATTTACGCAAACTCCCAGTTTGCTTGATATGCGATAGGGCTTCGTCGTAGTCATGATAATCCGACGACCCGAACCACGTAATCAGCTCTTTTTCAAAATTTTCCAACGATCTGAGTGTCCTTCCTTTTATACACCCTAGATAATCACTGCCACCATATGTTCGCCTCTCCATCAAGATAGTGGGCGGCGAATTTAACCCTTTCCGATTTTGGTATCTAGTATTTCGAAATATTTATTGTCGTGGTTCAACCACGAATCCGAGTCTGTTCTATAAAATGTGGGCACAATCAATTTCGGTCGTTCGCTCCTGTGCCTCTCTCAGTGGTTCGAACCCCTCGAACGGTTGTCCTCGTCGACCAAGAATTTGTTGTGGAATCATGGCTCTTTATTCGACTCCGGGACTCATCCGAGGCTGAGTTCTACTCATTCCAACGTGATCTCCAGGGGTGGATCAGAGCAGCATCCGCTCGATCCGGGCGACGACCTGGTTCGTCGACTGTACGTCGTCGTTGATGGAGGTATGCTCTTCTTCCAAATGATTGATCCGTTCTCTATTTTTTATGATGATACACGATCGATTCTCTAAATGAAAGCACCAATGATGAAAATCGTGTAGCGTGGTGATATGTCATGATAACCCGCACTGACGACAGTGGATTATGCAATAGGGTTTGTGCTAGAAAGCTAGCAATTTTGATATCTTATTTCTTAATGTCCAAGCCAAAACAATCAATACAATTTATAAATAAGAAAATAATGAAAATTGTAACTAGGTCCTAAGGAACAATAAAAATAACTATAACAAAGATGATAGATATTAATAATGCAGCTCGACCGCTACTGCACGCGCCTGCATCCCGCCTCCCGACCGCCTGCGCTATTTTCGTTGTGGTTGCTCCGCCTCCTTGATACGAACACGTCGAGCCTGATTATATGCATTCTTAAGGAGATGACCTTCGTCTGCATCATCAACATACACCAACAGAGTCTCGCTCTCATATCCACAAGTATATGAGTTAATATTCCCACCAAATAATGTGACTGAATATTAACATACCATATATATAGATATGCAATTAAAAGATCACAAAATTTTAACACTTGCACGTTATTTGGTCTATAGTGGAAATACTAGCATCAGAGCCGGTCCTGAACATCATAAATCTTGGCCGAAATATGCTAATTGTTCCATTGAGGTTGTTTTTTCTTTTTTTAAAAAAAAAATGTTCCTAAAAAAAGCACAATGTTACTAGCTATAATAAAGGATGTGAAATTTAAAATATAATTATAATTACATTTTATATCTTAAAAATAACAAATGATAAGAAGGGAGAAAATATTTTCTTTCTTAAAAACAAAAAATAAATGTTAAATCTCTAAGATTTTATTTAATTAAATATATATCTTATAGTAATTGTAGTATATAATATTCAATTAAAATTTAATATTTGTTTATCAAAAAAGTAAAAAATTATTAGTTTTGATATCTAAGAAAACGAAATAACGATAAATTAAAACTTGTTATAAAATGAGTTGATTGCAATTGTCTCTTCTTAGACTATTAGTACCATTATTTAACTGTACCTTGTGGTATAGCATTTTATATATTCAAGCAAGAAGAAAAATTTATAAACCGATTGAAAAGAATATAAAAAAAGTATGTAAAAATATATTAATTTCACTGCTAATAATTAATAATTATTTTTTTCATAAAATTTGTCAAATTAAACGAAAAAAAAAAAAACAATGAAATACTTTACTAATGAATTAAGAAAAAAATAAGTATTAAAACTATTTTCTATATAATTATAATTATATATATATCAATAATCAATAATAATGGACCTTAGAGTATGTGGGGCCTGGGCGGTCTCCCGGCCCACCCTACCAAGGGCCGGCTCTGACTAGCAATTCCCATTTCAACATTAATCTATATACTATAATACAATAAATATTTTGGGTAGTTATGTAATTGATATTGATATATATTTAATGTGCTGCACCCGGGAAAGATCATACCCACAAATAACAACTGAACAAGAGTCGTGTTTGTCAGGCCGAAAGACGTATGTGGTTTTTGCGAGGAAACAATAAATAGACTTAAATAATACATTTTCAAGACATTGGGATTCATTCAATTCATCAGAATAAAGACGCGAAATCGGATAAAAAAACCGCCGATCGATCGCACACCCCAAAAACACCAATTTGCACTCGCGCGATCCATCGAGTGGATCAATAGAGGTTTTTGGCTGGTTTCGATTGATCGGTTGTTTCAATTCATCAGTTGTTTGGTATTATGGTATTGTTACAGAGGAGAAAATTACGAGGATCGGGCTCTGAGGAGGAAGAGAAAGACAATGGAAATCGTAACAATGGCGGATTTGGAATTCGATTGGGGAAAAAGTACGAGCTGGGGAGAACCCTTGGAGAAGGCAATTTTGGGAAGGTGAAATACGCGAAGAACCTCGAATCGGGCCGGGCCTTCGCGATCAAGATTTTGGAGAAAAACAGGATTCTCGACCTCAACATCACTCATCAGGTTCGATTCCAAATCTATTTTTTGTTCAATTCGATTTTTCATGTTCGTGTTTGATGATCAAATACAGGTTTGTATGTATATATGTATGTATTTTTAATAGTTAACTCATATATTACTTTTTACTTTTTCGTTTTTAGTTTTTGTGTTTTTTAGTTTAATTACTTAATATGAAAATAAGTTGATATAATATCCTTTAATTCGGGACCTCAATATCCATATTATTGAGGCGTGGGTGGGCCCAGTGGCCATTTGCCGCTTCGTAAATCATCAAAGAGAAGTATTTCATTGGATGAAAAAAGACGTCAATCAGAAGTTTTTTATTGGAGGAAAAAGGGAAAAAAATAATTGGTTCTTTTTTGTTCATATTTATTAGTGATTTGTTTTATATACACATATATAGTTAGTCGGTACTTAAAGCTAACATTACATCACACATTATTAATCTATAACCTAGAGATATTCAAGTAAACAAAAATATTAGTGGTACTTTATAAGAATATAAGTAGGTGAAATTAGTAGGGCATGTAAACAAAAATATTAATTTTTAGTTGATCATTGAAATTACAATTGAATATGAAAAAATTGAAAGAGAAAAATTAATTCAACTGATAATGTGTTTTGTAATGTTTTAAATACGGTGATTAATACTGCAATCAATAATAATACCGTACTATTGACCTTTATAATATCGTAATACTATATTACATTTGTATTGGTCAATAATACTGACAATATGGGATGCAATTGAATATCGTTTTTGCTATGCTACCAGCTTGTAGCGGTTTATATTAGGAAATATTCTCTTTGTTGTTTTAATAGTTTTTTTCATTGTAATCAATAGTTCTATTTTTACTTTTAATATATTTATATTCTTTTTAGATTTTTATCAATTTTAACTGAAATTAGAATTTTGTTTTATATATTATTTACTAATATGGTAATAAATTTAATTAATATTTTTTAAAACTGATAAAATAAATTATAAAATCAATTAAACCTGAATCGTAGCTTGTCTGATATCCCTCCTTATATATTAATTCAAAATGTGTTGAGCTTAAGTGGCAGACTCGCACACTCGCACGCTTGGAATGAGGACATAGCGAAAATCTATACTTCGTAATGTTGTTTGTATATTCATTTTTGCTTTGGAATTAGACTTGGTATTAAACATAAATAACCTTTTCAAACTAGCTAAGTGTACATTTAATTTTGTTCTTTTTTTTCTCTTACTACACATTTTGGGCAAGTAGCAATCTTACCAATTTATAATTTTCTCTCATATTTTTCTCCTAAATTATGATTTACAAATCACTTTATGCACTGTCTATTTTTTTTTATCAGTTAGTCCATCAAAACTTTGAAATAAATTTTTTATTGTAGCAATAATTTTTATCAAAAATTTCTTAACTCAACACTCATGTAATACACAAAAATTGTATTAGTGATTTTTATTTAAAAAAAAAAAAGACTTTTGTTTGAAATTGGGACCATATTGTGAAAGTGGCACAACCATGTGTCATGTGTTCTGTTTGTTGCATATTAAAATAGTGCATTTACCATCATTTTTTCTTAATTACGTTATCTTATTCATTTTGACAAAGTTTCAATTATTAACTGGATCGCAGATAAAGCGGGAGATTGGGACTCTGAAACTCCTCAAACACCCAAACGTTGTGAGATTATATGAGGTCCGAATCTCAAGTATTTTAACTTTTTGTTCGCTCTTCACATTTTCTAATAATCAAATAATTATCTTATTATTTATGAATAAGAATTTCTACCTAACGTTTTGAAAATAACACATAACTTTACTTTGGGTCATTTTATTAGGTTACCCTAATAATTAGACCAATTTTGTTTTGGTCATGTGAGTGGGCCACCACCAAACTTCAATTTGATTTGATTTGTGTGGGGCCATCATTTTGTAAAAGAAAATCAGCCTCGCGTTTTTTATCGCGCTTCACGTGCTGGGGCATTAAAACTTAGAACTGACAGATATCTCACGCTCAACAAGGAATTTGTGGTCTCTAAATTCCATTCGTAAAGTTATGGTTGGCCACTTTCATATAATCTAATATGCGGCCATGTTGGGCCCCATTGCAAAGAAAAAAATCTAAAATTAATAAATTAACTAAAAACTACTAATGCATTGACCTCAAATCCAGTGCGTGATCTAGATAGGCGTGGNAATTATTTTAATTTTTTAGTTGTGTACTTATGAAAATAAAAAAAAAAAAATCATTGGACCAATCAATTGGATAAATGTAGTGCATCATTTAACCAATCAATCGAATAAGTGTTGCGCAAAACGTGCTTAAATATGAATTTCCCAAAATTGTATTGATAATAATGCCTACTCCTCATTGTGATGATGTATCTAAATGTTAATACATTTATAATTGAAAGATAAATTACACTATGGTTAAAATATATATGCTTAAGTCTGAAATAACGAAATAGTGAGAAGAAAATGAGAAGAGTGATGCTAAATGAATGTCTTTGCTAAAGTGGTATTTGTAAAAATGGCTTCCTAAAGATGTACATAATGTGATGTATTATTTACGATACTTGTTTATCTACGAAACCGACCAGGTGTTAGCAAGCAAGACGAAGATTTATATGGTCCTTGAGTACGTGAATGGTGGCGAACTGTTTGAGAGGATTGTAAGTAGCTTCTCTGCTGGAGTATAAATTCACGAACAAGTCTTATAATATCATTAGTTTTAGATCTTAAACAACATTGTGATTTTCGCTTATACTTGGCTTGTGCAGGCCTCCAAAGGCAAATTCCAAGAAGCCGTAGGCAGGAAGCTCTTCCAAAATTTGATTGATGGTGTTAGTTACTGTCACAACAAAGGCGTTTTTCACAGAGATCTCAAAGTAATCAGTCGTTTTTCTTTTGCCATTATTTTTGCATGTCCTTAAATCAAACCTTTTACTGAAGATTTTATGGCCGACAAATTACAATGCAGCCAGAAAATGTGCTGATTGATGCAAGAGGAATGATTAAAATTACCGATTTCGGCCTCAGTGCATTACCTCAGCATCTCAGGGTACATCCATATCATCTTATTTTGTTCATTAACTATATAAGGGTTTT